AAAAAAAATGTATTTTTAATGCAACATATTCAAGTGGGTAGGAGTTACACTGTGTAGAAGAAGAGAGGTAGGTTTGATCTTGCTTGTCCAAGGTGATGCAGAGTAACAGATCCTGGTGAGTGGAGGGAGCAATTTTATCCACCACTAGGTGCAATGGTGGAGCCAGGGGGTGGTGGCCACCATAGATTAACAATGTGTCACCCTACCAGCCACCCCAATAATTTGATGAAACCATACTTTTAAGCAATATAACATTAGAAAGCATAGTTTTCTCAAATGATTGGGATGTCCAGTTAATACTGTATGATATATGGCAGCAGCCATATTGGATTTTGATGTGGCAACCCAATTTGTGATATGGATCTTTCCTATGCCTAGCTGTAGCCACACATGCAAAAAGATGATTATTCCATGGCAGCTTAGCATCGTTACACCGTTGTACCTTTTTCTCACATTCAGCCTACTGTATTCACAATATACTTAAGAAAGCATCATGAACGTTACACGAACACGATATAAATCATATGATGTAATTTTTCTTTAATTCGAACAGAATTTTTAAATATTCTAGCACACATATGTGGCAAAATATTGAAAGTATGACAGTATTCCTTTGCCTGCAACGCTGCACCACTTCTGTTCAAAACTTGTCTGAGCTCTTCCCTTTAAAACACTGTCTCTTTGAGCCCTTCCTACCCGAAAGGCTTCTTTTATTGAAACTGATCAAATATGGGAACATTACAGCTAGTTGCTGAAGTAGGTCAAAGCAGATTTTTAGGCAGGAGATATGCAGGTGTTTCATGGCAATGTAAATAAGTAAGAGGAGAAAATCTTTCACCACAAATGAAGAGTTATGAGCAGTTACTGTATATGTTGGAAGTATGGCAAAAGTTAGCAGAAAACACTGACGAAAAAAGAATATAAAGAACAATGTGAATCTTAAAAATTGTTTTATTTTGGTCTTAAAAGTGAAGTTAATCGGTTGTGATTTAGATATTTTTCAAGGCAACACACATCCCCCTTGAAAAGAGATAAAAAGTGGCCCGGTCCACCCAGGTACCACAGCTGTCAGGAATCTGTTCACGGTGGGAATCTGACTTGGAGAGGCCCGTCGTCACGGCTACACCAATGACACCGCTCGATGTGGCTGAGTTTTCTCCGTGGCAGCTCTCATTCACCCAATCAAAGCAAACAGGCCATGCTGTATTTAATGATTATCCCAGCATCTGTCCCCATCTCTCATGTCTGTGAACGGCCAGCAAACATAAGGAGAAACGACTCACAGGAGCCCAGTGAACGAGATCCAGCCGAACAGCTCAATTCTGGCTCTCACTGAGCAATTTCATCTCATTTTACTCAAATTTAGAAAAATTATGTCAAATGCTAATGTGCATTAAGAAGCTACTGTGTGGTCGTGACTCGTTACGTCAAGTACGTAAAGAGGTGGTTCACTGAGGAGGTGGTTACTGCTGCAGCATTTAATGCCAGTTCCAAAAAAGTGCAAAACTACAACATTTACAAGGTAATCTCAGTTATCTACACCACACAGATAAGACAGAATAAAATTACATAGGTTTTATAGGTTATTCTAACTTATAAAGACAGATAACTCGTTAAATCATTATCAAATCTGAGTGGATTATAATTAAGTTAATCTAGATGTAGTAGAAGGTGGCATGGTGAATCGGTTGGTAGAGCTGCCACCTCTCAGCAAGATTTAGATCTTACACACTTGTGTTTACCAAAATACAAGAAAACAAAAAAATAACTGCATTTTTGTAAATATGACATAAAAAAAATAAGGAGAAAAAATACAAGTATACATTTCAAACTAAACACACCACAGCTCTAATTTTTTTACCTATGAAATCAACCATAACGCACCAAGAAAACATTTTACTTAACACAAAATTTCAGAAAATGTCACCGTTTTTTGGAGAATATTTATGTTTTTGTGTGTTGCTCCACAGAACTGTCGCAATTTCATGTTCGGTGAGAAAAATCACAGATATTTATGAAAATATTCAGACCCTTGCTGCCTCTTCTGAGTCCTCTGCATCAGGATGGAAGTGATCAGTGAACACACCTCAGCTGCAAATCTCCTAAAAGATTCAGAGATTCTCTGCAGGCATGGACGGAGAACTGACAACAGAGTGCCCAGATGTGACATGTCAGAGAGGAACAGAGGTGCTAAACAAAATAACAAGGCAGAAAAAATAGAAATAAATCAAATGAGCTGTAAATAATGGTTTATTACAGTCTGTGGGATGAATGGTTTCTACAGTCCTGCTTTTCTTTGGTTCAACAATACGGGGCCACAGGGTAAACAATTTAATCTTTTATTTTCAGCGTGATTTGTTATAAACATAAACCATTTTCACACACCGCACCTTTGCTTGTCTCACACAAGCATAGGTTTCCAAAGTTGTTGTTGACAGCTGTGCTTAAACTAAAATGAAATTTGAATTGAATCTCTGCTTCCACACAGATCAGCGTCTCTTTATGCTGTTTTTGTTCATCTGCTCTAGATGGGCGGATTGTTTTCCGTGGCTTTGCAGGCATCACGCAGTCAGAAAAATAGTCTGAGTATTTGTTTCCCGGTACCCTTTTTTTATGAGAACCAGCATCTATTTATTTTTCTGCCCAACAAGGAGGGCATGTGTGCACCCATGTTCTTTGTAGCACTCCAACTTTATTAAGACGGTTTCTGTTTGAAAACATTTGACATTTTCATAAAGGCCCTGATGTCATCGTCTTTCTTTTTAGATGACTAAAATACAACCTACATGATCGTGTTAATAGAACATTCTCTGTCTGTCTTGTCTGTCCTGAGCTGTATGATACGTCAGACTGAAATGACCACATTAAAGAAGGAAACCATCATTAATGGGAGCAAATCAGACAAACGCTAAATGTTTCCAGTAATAGGATTAGCTTATAATGTAAAGACAAACTGAAACAATTTGTTGAAATGAAAATGGCCCGTTGTTTGTCTTATCAATGACAAGTTGTACACAGCCCTCTGAAGAGAGACCCACTATAAATGTCTCATATTTAACGTAACAAACCTGGAGTCAGGCTCTTCTATATTAAGCTTTACAGTAATAACATCCATGATGAATTGCCTGATATTATTCTTCCACTGTGTCTGTTGGTAGAGCTGTTGTCTCTCAGTGAGAAGGTTGTCGGCTCAAATCCCGGCCGAGGATCTTTCTGGGTGGAGTTTACATGTTCTCTCCATGCATGCGTGGGTTTTCTCAGGGTACTCCGGTTTCCTCCAACAGACCAAAAAAACATGCATATTAGGCTGATTGGTAACTTGAAATTGTCCCTAGGTGTTAATGGTTGTTTGTCTCGTTTGTTTCTGTGTCCCTGCGATGGACTGGAGACCTGTCCAGGGTGTCCCCCGCCTCTCACACAGTGCCTGCTGGACATGGGCACCAGTGAATCCAGAAACCCAGAAAGGAAGAAGTGGGTAAAGATAATGGATGTTCATATCTCCGCAATCTGCTCAGAAATAAACAGTTTCTTTGAGTTGAGGCCAGACTTAGATAAATGGGTTTTGATTCAGAGATTCTTTATTGTCATTTGCACCACATGTGGTACATGTGGTGGAACAAAATTATGTACACAGGGTCCCAGTTACATCCAACAATAAAATGTAAAAGAAAAAACATTAATAAGATGTAAGATATGAACCTAGAAAAACATCAGCTAAAAATATGCTAAGCACTAATAGCATAAAAAAATCATGCCGAACAGCAGCATGAACATGAGTCTGTGTGAGCAGATGAGCACGCATGAACACAGCAGCATGAAACAGATCAGCAGCAGCATGAAACAGATCAGCAGCAACATGATGTGATTTTTCATAGTGATTATCTTGGTTAGAGATTCATGAGTCTTAACAGCTTCAGGGTAGAAGCTGTTCCTCAGTCTAGTGGTTCTACACTTAATGCTCCTTAACCTCCTTCTTGAGGGGAGTGGGGCTAAAAGTCTGTGTACTGGGTGAGTGGGGTCCTTCATGATGCAGGTGGCCCTCTTCCTGCATCTGGAGGTGTAGATGTCTGTGATGGTGGGGAAGCTGACTCCAACAGACTTCTGTGCAGCCTTC